ACAATCATTGATATAGGTTAACTCAGGACGGAGTGACTATATGGTTAGATGGTCGTTCCGGCTGGAGACTCCACGCGCTGGCTTCGCCGCCGTGGAGGCTCTCCAGCCGGTCATAGCCGAGTGGGCAGGGCGGCAGCACGGGGCCCTTTCCTTCCGGCTGACGCAGGTGCTTTCCGGGCACGGTTGCTTCGGAAAGTACCTGCACTCGGTCGCTAGGAGGGAACTGAGTCCCGCCTGCCACCACTGCGACTGCAGTGAGGACTCGGCCCAGCACACGCTGGCGGTCTGCCCCGCATGGGCGACGCAGCGCCGGGCCCTCACTGCAGTCATCGGAGCAGATCTCTCGCTACCGGCCGTAATTCGCTCCATGGCCGGTAGCGACAGTTGTTTTACCGCGGTCGCAACCTTCTGCGAGGAGGTAATCTCGCAGAAGGAGGCGGCGGAGAAGGCCCGGGAGGACGACCTCCACTCGGACCTGATCCGCCGCCGGCGAACCGGGCGGCGGAGGCGCGCTTACCTGCGCCTCATGCCGCCCTGAGTGTGGCCGGGGGTGGACGGGGTGGGTTTCCCCTCCACCCGCATTAGTTGGCCAGCCGCGAGGGGGCGGCGTCCGCGTGTGCCGGACGTCGCCTAAAGAGAGGATAATTGAAGACGGAGCCCGCACCAGGAGCGGGCCGGCGCTGGGAGGGGTCCAGAAGGCGATAACTACCTGGACCCCTCCTAAACTGGAAGCGCAAAGAGGGCACACCGTGTGGTTTTAGTCGGTTCGAGTCCGACACACCACCCCGCCGCAAACCCCGGTGGGGTGACGGTCCGAGGGGATTTCCACACGTTAAAAAAAAAAAAAAAAAAAAAAAAAGGACGGAGTGACTATGAGCGGGAAGCTGGTCCTATTGAGGAAGCCGGGACGGCCTGCCGATTCGGTCGCGGCCTATAGGCCCATCGTGCTGCTGGACGAGGCGGGCAAATTGTTTGAGAGGGTTCTTTCTGCCCGCATCGTCCGGCACCTCTGCGAGGTGGGCCCCGATCTGTCGGACGCCCAATTTGGTTTTCGGGCGGGGCGTTCGACAGTCGACGCCGTGTTGCGCCTGAGGGCCGTGACCGAAGAGGCCGTGAGCTGTGGCGGCGTGCTGTTGGCGGTGTCATTAGACATCGCCAACGCATTCAATAGTCTGCCATTCAGCTGCATCAGGGAAGCACTCCACTATCATGGGGTGCCAAAGTACCTGAGGCGGCTAGTGGCAGACTACTTAGAGGAGCGTACCGTCGTGTACGAGGACCGAGAAGGTAATTTGAGGAGTCGGCCCATGTCGTGCGGTGTTCCACAGGGGTCTGTTCTTGGACCCCTCTTGTGGAACATAGGGTACGACTGGGCCCTTCGCGCCGATTTCCCCCCCGGGCTGGGTGTAATCTGTTACGCAGACGATACCCTCGTGACAGCCCGGGGGGCAAACTTCCAAGAGGCGGCGCGCCTGGCCACAGGGGGAGTCTCCCTGGTGGTCGGGCGCATTGAGGCGCTGGGCTTACGGGTGGCCCTAGATAAGACGGAGGCCCTGTTATTCCATGGGCCCCGTCGTGGTCCACCCCCTGGTGCCTCAATCGTGGTCAACTCGGTCCTCGTACCGGTTCGGGCCCAGATGAAATATCTGGGCCTGATCCTCGACGGGAGGTGGCTCTTCGACGAGCACTTCCGACAGCTTGCTCCACAGCTGGTCGGCGCTGCGTCTGCCCTAGGGCGACTCTTGCCCAATATGGGTGGACCCAGCGTCGCGACAAGACGGCTGTACACGGGGGTTGTCCGGTCAATGGCGCTGTACGGTGCACCGGTGTGGGCGGCGGCTCTGACCGCCCAGAATAGGGTACGCCTCTGGCGCCCTCAGAGGGTAATGGCGGTCAGAGCCATACGCGGTTACCGCACCGTTTCTACGGAGGTGGCGTGCGCGTTGGCCGGAACTCCCCCGTGGGATTTGGAGGCGGAAGTGCTCGCCGAAGTTTATCGGCGAGTGGCTGACTTCCGGGCGGAGAGCGGATTTCGCCCTCCGCCCGAGGATGTGCGCGAGTGGCGCGAAGCCGCTCGCCGAGCCACGATGGCTCGTTGGTCGTTCCGGCTGGAGACTCCACGCGCTGGCTTCGCCGCCGTGGAGGCTCTCCAGCCGGTCATCGCCGAGTGGGCAGGGCGGCAGCACGGGACCCTTTCCTTCCGACTGACGCAGGTGCTTTCCGGGCACGGTTGCTTCGGAAGGTACCTGCACACGGTCGCTAGGAGGGAACTGAGTCCCGCCTGCCACCACTGCGACTGCAGTGAGGACTCGGCCCAGCACACGCTGGCGGTCTGCCCCGCATGGGCGGCGCAGCGCCGGGCCCTCACTGCAGTCATCGGAGTGGATCTCTCGCTACCGGCCGTAGTACGCTCCATGGCCGGTAGCGACAGTTGTTTTACCGCGGTCGCAACCTTCTGCGAGGTAGTAATCTCGCGGAAGGAGGCGGCGGAGAGGGCCCGGGAGGACGACCTCCACTCGGACCCGATCCGCCGCCGGCGAACCGGGCGGCGGAGGCCCGCCTACCACAGCCTCATGCCGCCCTGAGTGTGGCCGCGGGTGGACGGGGTGGGTTTCCCCTCCACCCGCATTAGTTTGGCCAGCCGCGAGGGGGCGGCGTCCGCGTGTGCCGGACGTCGCCTAAAGAGAGGAACATCAACAGTGAGACGGAGCCCGCACCAGGAGCGGGCTGGCGCTAGGAGGGGTCCGGATGTCTTAACAACAGCTGTTCCCGGATCCCTCCTGTTACAGGCGCAGAGTGGCACACCGTGTGGTTTTAGTCGGTCCGAGTCCGACACACCACCCCGCCGCAAACCCCGGAGGGGTGACGGTCCGAGGGGATTTCCACACGTTAAAAAAAAAAAAAAAAAAAAAAAAAAAAAAAAAAAGGACGGAGTGACTATACAGACCAAAGTATCATATTACAATAATACGTAACACTTTCTATAAATGACTATATATTGGTGTATATTAAGGCAAGTACTGCGAGACTCACATATTTTATTATTACTCAAAGCATTAACAACTATCTTATCGATAGCTTCAATTGTATGGTTTTATTGTTACAAACATGTGTCACAGAACAATATTAGGTCTTTACCTATGAAATTGCCGTTTTGTATGCAATAAGTGAAAGTACTTTTTTTTTTTTTAAACTTTTTTATTTCTGTTATTCGAAGTAATCACCCATGCAATCGACGCATCTTTGCCAACGCATTGGCAGTTTATTGATGCCCTTCTTGTAAAAATCAGCTGGATGGGAGGCAACAATCTCTTCAAAGGCATTTTGTACTGCCTCTCGGGAATTGTATTTTTTACCCACTAAAAAGTTGTCTAAATTTTGGAAAAAGTAATAGTCGATAGGTGCAAAGTCTGGTGAGTATAGCGGATGAGGGAGAGCTTCCAACCCCAGCTCTTGCAGCTTGGAGACTGTCTGTTGCGCAGTATGGGGTCGCGCGTTGCCGTGAAGGAGCAGTGGGGACGACCGATTGACCAAAGCTGGTTGCAGATGTGACCACCAGACCTTATCGCAGGATAATTGATTTCACTTATCTATGAAACCAATTAATCATACAGATATGCACCATTTACTGCAAGAATGTTAAACATTGTTCTACCAATCGAAGTATATAGTACTTAATAATTACTTGCTCTTAACTGATTAACAACTGTTATCATTTAAAGTACGATTTTTCATCATAGTTAAAAATACGAATAGACAAGTTACCGAATATTTTGAGTCAATAACTTCTTCGCTTTTCTATGGCGTTTTATATATTGTGTATATTTATATATATGTTTATGTCTTTTCACTTTTAGCTTTAATGCTAAAGCAACTAAGATATTACAAAGTAATGCCAAATTATATGTTTTAATTCACAGTTTCGTATTTTCTTATCAAGTTCCTAATTCCATTAAAGGGAAATTTTGGATCTGATATTTTCTCGGTGGAAACCACCCACGTTAATGTAAAACCTTTAATTAAGTCAAGGTATTTCTTAGTTAGATTTTTGTTTTGTTTTTCAAATATACCTAGAGTAAAGGTGAATTCATTGCAATTGTAACTAGCCATACCCACGAGAGGTAGCAAACGTTTAGGAGCCATTAGGCTACAGACACAGAAATAAATTTAAACAACTTAAACTTATAACACTCCTCCATAGAAATAAGTATATGGTTCAATAGTATGGTGAAAGTTTGTCAATTTAAATTGATAAATGAATTAATAAACCGCGGGTAACATCACAAAACATCAGCCTCATTGACACTGAGAACACTTGATGAATTACTTTCACAAAATATACTTTGACAGCAATGACAACATCTTAATGACATTTTGACTTCTTTTTTTTGTTTTTTTCTAAATGCTTGTGTTAAGAGAGGGTTCACGTCGGTAGTGTACTGGTCAGGATTCGAACTCACGACCTCTCGATCACAAGTCCAATGCCTTAACCGCTTAATTGATTAAAATTGACGGATGCCATTAAAAAAAAACAGTTTAAACCGCTGAACCGGTTTTAATGAAATATCCCATGAAGATATTTTGATTCTTAATGAACGACATAGGCTTACTTACTTTTTACCGCTATAACCGACATACCCAAGAGCAAAAGCAAGTATAACATATGACCCAACACTTCAATATTAAGTCGAACTAAAAGTTAAAATATTTCTGGCAGGAATTATGTAAAAGAGGAACTAATACAAGCATCATTATTTGACAAACCATTCTAAGTAAGTTTTAGATCACTCTTGTGTCTTTCCTCTACCGCAACCATAATAAAGTACCTCGATTTCAATGGAAATGGATAATGGATAATTCTACTACATACTCTGTTATTACAGCAGTAGGAATGATTTAATTCAAGATTATTAATATTATCCAGCTTGCAAAATTGGAAACAAGCCATTATGGAACATAAAAACACTTTAGAATGTCTTGTATGAAAGCTTCGTTCCCTTTTACTGCTGATTGTGCTGCGAGAACACCTGAGCAACAGAAAGAATGAACAATACCGCGATTGCTGCTGGATAGCTGTCTGTAACATAAATAAAATAGAAACATTTGTTTCTTAATAGTGTTTTAAGTGACTAACATGATGTTAGGTGTGTTCTCAGGAAAATGGAAAGTTAAAACAAGCCTTACCGTAGGTAAAATTTCTCTTTTTTTTTTAAACGACTTAATAAAAATGATTTCACTTGCTACAGTTTTATATATATTGATAAGTAAACATGTACCTACTCTATGAGCCCCAACTAACCGTTACTATAAGCAAAATAGGTGCACAGACCTAATGCTATGGGTGCCTAAAAAAAGTAGCAATACCAATAGTATCACATGTGTATTTCCAACCTATCTTTCTGGCTTTGGTGACACTTGTTGACAGAAGAAAATTAGGGTACCGCATATAACTGCGATCTTCCGTAAAAATACTATGCGTGCGGCGGTTAAACTTTGAATAGGAATCTGCTTTTCTATTTCTACTTTGAAAATCTTTGTACAATACAAATATCTACTAAAAAAACGAATGCCTATGCTTATATGTATATAGATAGGTGCAATATATAACACACAATTACAACTTACGTGACGTCTATTGCGGAGTGATTAAACGAACATATGACAATCGAACTTTCCGACTTGTAACAATATCTGAAAAGATTTACTTACAGAAGTAAATATCATTTGAGCTCTTAACAGACATAGGAAGTTGCATGAAAATTCATAGTCAATAATTTTACGTTTAAGAACCACTAATAAAACCATCACCATTAATGACGTTTACTTCGTCAGTTTTAATCACGCCGAATAAAAATCGCTTAGATCAAGCTCATCGCAAAGACAATCCAAGAATCGAGTAAAGATGTAAAACTGGCATTAAACTTAATAACTTCGTATAAAAGTCGAAACTCTGACCAGCCTGGGTAGTAATTACATCTCTACAGGCTTTGAATTTTAATCGTTTGCGAGGTACAGAGCGGGTGCGGTGCTAGGAGTGCCACCCCCACACACACTCGCGACATCGGTATCGCCGCATCAAAGTCAACCTCTAACAATCTATTTATATCACAAATAAATTATTAAATTTCACTGAAAGGCAAGCTACCTACTTCTATTTACAAGAACAAGAATAACAATTATATAGATTTTTTGATACCCCGGTTTAAGTTTCTGAATTTTCGATATGCTACATATAATTATCTCTATATAGCTATGAATATAATGGTCTTCACTTTTAATTACTATTACTAGAATTTGCCCACGATTACATTTACAGTTATATTTATAACCTCGAAAATATTTTTTTTCTTTAGCTTAAGTCTTTTCACTATGAATTCACCTACAATAGCTACCATATTTATATACCTAGAGATGCTACATTTTACAATATTAAAATTAACTTAGATTAGATTAACATCAAACAGTTTAGAAATGAAAAAAAATATAGTTCTTGATGTTATTATGATAAAATTTCAGTATTTTTGAAGACATAAATACATATTTATGGATAAAATATGGATACCTTTGTAGAGAATCATTACTTTATAAATAGCTTTGCGTGACATATTTCGAAACCCTTTTTCATTATTATGGTAAGTTAAATCATTATAAAATCGGGACATTTGGTAAAAAAAAACATGAATTCGTAAAATATTAGATAGGTAAGTACTCATCCTTTCATCATTATCTCAATAATGTAACAGCACTGCATAACAAGTAAACAATTTGATTCACCATTAAAATATAAATGGGAAGATACACCATTATATGTTTGTAATCCAACGGAGTTTTTTTATTGCTGTTTTATATTGCTCTGTCAGTTTGATAGTCAAGATGCAAGGGGGTTCATTAGAGCTTCCTCTCGCCGGCAGGTGCAAAGGACGACATGCAAGCGTCCAGAGGCTCGCCATTGGTGGATGCGCGGGCGCTGATTTACGGCTGCCTCGGTTCCTAACGCAGCTGCTTCTTTCTATACTTACGACTACATTACAGTTATGGGAAGTTTATGTTTAGACATAAAAAGGGAAGTCGCGAAACTAGATCTTTTTTGGAGCGATATGAAACACCTTGTCATATTTACATTTTTTCATCGTCACCCTGGATTCATTTACGCACCTGCTTTACACACTATTTCAATATACACTTGAGAGCATCATTTTCTAAAAGGAAATAAATATTAAAATGTTGATACATAAAAGAGTAACTAGAACTGACTACACATTTAGCGTATACCTACTCGACCCACTTTATTACAACCACTCAACGAGCTCTGAATCGCAGTACTAGGAAATTTACGTGTTCAAGTTGCAATCATTGTTACATTCTTATAAAAAGTGAGAGAAACTGTTTTAAATGTTGAAAATAAAGATGGTCATTATAATAAGAGGTATTGAATGCTGAACCAATTAAATTAGATAAGGAAAAGACTAAAGCATTTTGAGGGTATTTTTCTATAACCAGTATCCGGGGGAAAGGCATGTGATTCTCTAAGTATGAGTAGTATATATAAAAAAGTAAAACATTTAATTGTAATTATCGTAGTTTATAAATCGTGTCAGCTATTTAGGAAAGCAATAATGTGGCACATACCTTCCGCATCGCAGCGACGGCGGTGGTGAGCTGGCGTGACCAGAGACATGACAGCGGCGACGGCGGGCGCGCCGAGACACCGGCAGAGCCAGGCACGGCCCACGGTTTCCGTCACGCGATGTCTGCACACAAAATTATTTTGAAAAAATACTGAAACAATGTGAAAATTATAATAAGAAAACTTAGGAAGTATTCGTTTGCAGTAACGATGTACCTAAATGTGATCTATCGTTGATGTACTCATAATATGTACATAAATTCAATCATTTAGGAGTAAAACACATAATAACCATGAAGATAACAGACTAGATGCTACAGACAGTTCGTTTTGAATGTCCTTCTTAATCGAGAGGTGTCCGTTCGTCACGGTTGTGTTGTGCTGTATGGGGGCCGCTACGCCCCATCGAACAAGCCAACGTCAGCAAGGAGTGATGCCTACAATTAGTCCTCAGAGCCCACATCGCTATGATTAAAGTTAATTACACCTTGATTTTGCCGCGGATAGCGATTAAGTGTACCATTAGACTATATCCCGAGGCGATCATTACTCGTATTTCTCAAAGATCTCAGCGTTTTTTCTGATAATATTTTAAACGAAAATGAACTCTCATAAAAGTTATTGTTTTGTATATGAGATGAGTTGCGTAAGTTAAGGCCATAGCTATATGATATTATCTATGATAGCAAATATCGTTTATAAGTTGCGAAGTACGTATATAAACATGATTTACTCCATTCTATACACATACTCCTTATCTCTACATATGGTACTCGTATTTGAGTAATTGAACCATCAGAGCTCAACGTTGAAGATTCAAGGAAGATGAAGGAAAGATCGCGTTTCATAATATCTGTGTATATATATCAGTCATATATGATAAAAACGTGCGAACAAATATACAACACATGTTTACTTTCGTATCACGGTTTAAGTACATTACTAATACCCTTTTAACTAGAATAATAGGAGGACTTATTATTTTTACTTGAAGTTACGTTGACCGTTGACTAGAGCTCCTAATTTCAAGTAATTCATCGTTAACATTGCTAAAACATCTTCAGGACAATTCTCACTTCAGATGTCATCTGCAATTCTCCTTTTATTTAATAACCTAGGTACTTAATTATGAAGTAAACAATAATAAAATCTTGAGGGCTTATTTGAAACCTTTTCTTTGACGGGTTTGAAAGTCCCTTCGGATTTCCTGCTAATCGTCGACTCAGGAGCCTGGAGTATGTGTTGATAGCACTAAAAACCACCCCGACGGCCGGCCTCAGGTGAGGGAGGACCCAGACCATGTTGTTTAAGGTCCTCCCCGAATTGACACCATGCCTAACCAGGCCCTATCCCAGGGGAAAACACTTCCCACCCTTAATTACGACTTGGCGGCTTAATTGCATCTTATTGCAATCAGGCCGCCATCCTATCCCCTACCGCATCAATCAATCTGCCACCAGAGGTCCCCACTTTCTGGCGGCCCGCTGCCCCGTCGCCGGCTGGTATCGTCGCCGACGTCCCCTACGGTTGGGGTCGGGAGAAGTCTCTTTCTGGGGCATTACATTTTCACAAAAAGAGACCACTACGCCCCATCCCTCCTCACCCGCCAGCAAGGCAGCAATGATTGCTGGTGGGGACAGATCTCGTAAGATTTGGTCGACGAGGACGTCACGTTCAGACGTGTACGCGGGGCAATCTGCCAGGCAGTGTGCTGGCATTGTGCCGTCACCTCGCGTACTAACCAAAACAGCCATGCCCAGTGAGTACCTCATAGTAGTGGGGTGGGGGCCTGCTGATCTGTGGCACAGGTTTTTAACCTAAATCAGACACCGGCTCCCCACAAAAATTATAGTATGCAGGTAACTATAGAGGAGTTATTCACAAATCGCTTATGTAAACTAGAATATTATTACTGAAAAACTGTTACTTGTGTTTTTTTTGTAAGGAGAAATAAATAAATATATTATTATTATAGTTAAACATTTACCTATTTACCTTTTCTTATTCTGCATTGTCATCGAAGTAGTATAAATGAACAAAATATACTAAGGATTTATTTTACTTTGAAGAAAAATGTAAAAATGAAGATAACATTTAGCAAGTTAATTCAAGACCAATATTAGGCCCCGAATAACTCATAGGCATCTCGACCAATCATTAGACGACTTTAAGTTGATCCTATCAACTTTGATAACTTGTCCCAAAGTTGTTTGTGAAATGGTTGCATTCCATTTTTCGAAAAACGATTGACCAATATCACTGATCCAACCATTCGATTGGATAAACTGCTATTATGTAAAAGTACATTTTCAAAATATAATAACAGTAGGCCGACGGTTACAGTTCACCAGTTCGTCACAATCCGGTGCTACCAACTTTTTATTAACTTCAATAACCGTTAAATTCGATTACGACGTGTATCGAGATGAAAACGACAGTTGCCTAACAAGATATTGCAATTTTGTGTAGTACGTAGTTACCGCCGTTGACTGGTTTTAGTACCGTAGTAATACTTTCAAGTTGTTACGTAATCAATTGTTGTATGTTTGTATTTCAAACAAAAACGTATTGGTATAAGTTTGTACAAAGAGTTAATATGTAGCGCTATATAAAAGTGCACACACAATAGTACAATCACACACACATAGATGTAAAATCAAAAATAGTACGTGTGACAAAACTTCTCTCTGTCAAAATTCCGTTTCATGAAAAATATGACCGGTAACAAAATAATTAATTAATATTATATTATATAATATTTAAATATAATATTAATAAAATAGGTACTTAATGTGTTGTTTGAAACCTTTTTGATTCAACAAAATAATACTTCTCAGAAACAACATCGGATAATGTAACACATCTGAACCCCGTTAAACAGATGCAATAGTTTCAATCTAAAATCGCCAATGCACTCGTTTCCATGAGCAAAACACCTAAACATAAAAAGGAGTGGATGTCAAATGAGGCTTGGTCTTGCATTGAACAACGAAAAGAGCTCAAAAGGGGTATGCAACCTGACGACTATAAAGAAAGATACACGGTCCTTTCTAGACAGATTCAAAGTCAATGCCGAAGAGACAAAAACTAGTTCCTAGATAACATCTGCTCTGAAATCGAACGTCATGCAGACAAGCAATAAACAGCTGATCCATTCACTGAAATTGAAGTTAGCTAAAAAGGTACAAAGCAACAGGGTCAGATCAGATCACAGCGGAGGCATTGAAAGGTTTGGTCCCTAATGGAATAACTAGCCTGCATGAAATATGGCAAACCAGTTACTGGCCATTCGATTGGGTACACTCGTCAATTATTCCTATTCACAAAAAGGGTTCGGTACGTAACTGCAACAATTATAGAACAATAACCCTAACATTACATGCTAGCAAGATCCTACTACACATCAGCAACTCAAGACTATCTTAATAGACTAGACTAAGAATATCTTTTCTTTGGTTTTGTTAAGGGTAGAGGAACTAGTGAGGAGATACTAAACCTTAGGCTTATAGTGGAAAAAATTACGAATACAACAACACGCTCCAGATTGTCATAATCTGGAGCGTTTGATGGTGACCGGAGGAAGGGAAGAGGAAGAGACCCAGAGGCAGAAGACCCAAAATATGGTCAGACCAGATCGCTGAACAGCTAGAAATGCCAATAAGTACGTACTGTAAGATTGTTAGGGCTTACAGGGGTTATAGGCTATTGATGAAGTGACAAAAACCTACAGGGCACAAACAAAAGCAACAAGGCGATTTTAGGCAATTTCATTTTTTAAACCCAATTAACTCTTAGTTACTCACAACGGTACAAACAGGTTTATAAGAATTGATTGAGTGGGCGTAAATATTAAAATGCTGGGTGTGATTATGTTTATCAAGATGTGTATATTCTCGTGACTGCTTGGTATTTTTTTAAATCAAAACGCGTATTTTATAGCTTGTTTGTATTCGTAGAAGCAACCACGTATTAATTACCATTTAAACGAATGTATTATTTGGATCTAGGTATTTTCCTCTTTGGACTTTCCAAATATAAACTAATATCGTGCGTGATGAAACCCCACCTTAGACAGTTTACATAAGTAAACAGTTATTTTAATAGAAGGAAATATAGTTTTAAAACCAATCAAACCGCAGTTTAGTGGTAGTGCACTCCTATGAATGTATTACAATAATAACATGTCACAAACTAGGCAGAGCCAGAGCTATAGTTATAAGACTATTATGAAATATTAAACATATACTTGATAGTCGAACCCATGTCCTTGGTCAGCAGTTAGGGTCAATAACCACTTATTTTCCTACTTAGACTAATAAGCTACTTTAAACTAACTGAATAGATATAGATATTTTACACAATCGACATAGTTTTATTCAAGGCAATAAATACGTCTATTTTAAGTATTATTAAAAAGTATAACCTTCAGTAAGCTATTTAATTTTTTTATGTTTCCTTATTACCCATTAACATTTATAATTGTGCATATACACCTTCCTGATAAATATAGGAACTTCTAATTCTATAATACGTTTCGACAAAAGTGATTCTTGACACAATGACTGATTAATTAGGATTTGGAAAATCTATTAATTTTTGTTTAAAAAGATTAATCAATTTTCTAAATCCTAAATAATACCTAAAATATATTTTAGTCAGAATTAAAAGTTACTGTCAATTTTAATACAGGTTAAATGATAAAATTCAAAATGACTCCATACTATATACAACTATGACTATTAAAAAAGGAATTGATTTCATTTGATATATCGCTATATATATCGCTGATTCGAAAAACGAAATTCATCGAATCCCTGGTTGAAAACGAGATACAGTACAGAATTTACGAAATATTTAGGTATTGGAAATGTTTGACCCAAAAGTAAGTTGTTTCGTTCAAAACAACGTAATAATTAGCAGCTACTACAGTGTAATTCACAATAATATATTAACTATCATTTTATCAGGAAGTAGAAAGATGAAAAATTACTTTAAATTACCATATGACCTCATTTAACAACTAGCTTAGCATAGCTTCCCTAGTTACCCAGGTATTGTAAATTAATATGAAATATCTATTAAAATGACATATATTCACGTTCGTCAATAATGTGAGAGGTAAAACAACCAAACCATGTTCTAAATCAAAATGAATTGAAAGAAACTGCTTGTTATTGTAGAATGGACTTGTATCTTTCCTCATAGTGTCTCGAAATCTATTGACAAATGCAGTAGCCATTAGCTCACTTTCCAATAATTGACAATTGTCAATTGCTCTCGCCTACATACGGCACAACGGATCTTCTCAAAATTAAAGGAACTACGACTTGAAACTGTTTCTCACGTGCGTTTAAATCATTATTCAAAAAAAAAGTTGCATTCTTTCAACATAAAATCACATATTCATGCATGAGTATACTTAAAATGTAAATAATCGGACTCTTGGTTGTGATATATGCAGAAGAAGAGTCGCCTTAAACCGGTCAAATACACCTTTAACTTATTATGTAATCGATTACACAATAGCAATCGTGAGAAGTCCTCACTGACCTCTCAACATCTGAGAGTTACCATTGGAGCGCCCACGATTAGCAAAATATCACAGTCTTACATCAAAATAAATTAGTAAAAAGATTTGGAAATGACAATACTTTGACCTTAATGCATGTATTTAAATATTGCATTTTAAAAATTACATAATTTGCCTACGAAAATGTCTGAAAAGCGTGCTCTGCAATTTACCACAGAGTTTCGACATGCTTACAGCATTAGTCTTTCAATGTCGGTCAACAAGCGGCACGACGTTGCTGAATACAATAAACAGTACACCGTCAAATTTGGCTTGACG